AACAAACAACTAACTAACTAACTAACTAACTAACTAACTAACTAACTAACTAACTAACTAACTAACTAACTAACTAACTAACTAACTAACTAACTAACTAACTAACTAGCTAACTAACTAACTAACTAACTAACTAACTAACTAACTAACTAACTAACTAACTGATGTATTGTTCCGTCAGACTTTTCTCTAGTTTATACAGCTATACTAATCGTCAGACTTCATTATCTCAAGTTGTGAACTTTATAAGTTAAGGTAATTAGACATAATCAAAATGCAATTATATCCTACAGTTTTCCTACAATATACTACCTTTGACTTCTGAGACTTGCAAAAACATATAATATATGACCATTTTGTAGCGGAAATGGAAATTTTAACTAACAAAGCTTCTTCTTGTCAAAATATATGACAAAATACTTTTTCATGGTTATTAAACAAAAACAAACACAATCTCTCATTTATCTTTAAAATTACTACAAAAGATATCGGATTAGCTTTTCTAAACTTATTGTTAAAAATGTAAGAAAACAAAGTTAGCTTTAGGGATATTTTATGCTTTTAATTTGATTATACAACACAAAGATTTCATATATAAGTACTTACATATGTATGTATGTAATAATAAAATATCAAAAATGATGCAAAATACCAAATAAATGTCATCATATTTGGCTGCACACCAAAAATTACAAGAGAAGAGGGGAGATGAAATGTATTTACAAACAAAAAATTCAAATCCCCTTAAATTACTTAAATCCATTCAAATGTAAAGCTTTCCTTAGAAACTGTTTGCAACATGTACGTATGTATGTGCTTGGAAACACAATTGTATGTATATGTAAGTATGTATGTAGCAAGTTGCCATAAGACAATCGGATTAAATGTAAACTGATTCTTTTGACTACTTTTTTACAGTATATAATTACTTGTACTTACATTTATACTGATGTACATTTGCAATTACATATTTACATGTATGTTTGTAAACTTCCAGAAAACTTTTGTTTCTTGCATTTGTGAGAATAAATACGATGTTAAAAGGATGAACAAATATTAAAAACTTAAAATTAAAATAATTTGCAAATATTTGTTATATAATTGTGTTCAAAATTGATTTATGTTATGTTAAAGAATTTAAGCTTTAATTTTAATGCAAATTTTAAATACAAATTATGCTGGACTGCAAAGCATTCTACAGTCTGGACTATAATCTAGATTATAGAGCATTCTATTGTCTGGACTAGAGATAAGTCTATAGTTTGGACTATAGAGTAGTTTATAGTCTGAACTATAAAGATGTTTATAGTCTGGACTATAGGTCAATCAATTTATTCCATATTATAGATTAGTCTATTGTCTGGACATAATCTGGAATATAGATCTGTCTAAATTCTATTTTAGTCTATAGTCTCTACTGTAGTTCAGTCTATTGTCTGGACTATATATCAGTTTATGGTATGGACTATATATCAGTTTATAGTCTGGACTATAGATCAGTCTATAGTCTGGACTATAGATCAGTTTATAATTTGTACTGTAGGTCGGTCTTTAATCTGGAATATAGATTAGTCTATAATCTGGACTATGGATCAGTCTATACTCTGGACTTTAGATCTGTTGATAGCCTGAACTATATATCAGTCTTTAATCTGGACTATAGATCTGTCTACAATCGGGACTATATATCATTCTATAGTGTGGACTATGGATCAGTCTATAATCTGGAATATAGATTAGTCTATAATCTGGACTATGGATCAGTCTATACTGTGGACTATAGATCTGTTTATAGCCTGAACTATATATCAGTCTTTAATCTGGACTATAGATCTGTCTATAATCGGGACTATATATCATTCTATAGTGTGGACTATGGATCAGTCTATACTCTGCACTATAGATCAGTCTATACTTAGTCGGGACTATACATCAGTCTATAGTCTGGACTATATATCAGTTTATAGATCAGTCTATAGTCTATACTATAGTCTATAGTCTGGACTATTGATCAATCTATAGTCTGGACTATTGATCAGTCTATAGTCTGGACTATAGATCAGTCTATAGTCTGGACTATAGATCAGTCTATAACCTGGACTATAGATCAGTCTATAGTCTGGACTATAGATCAGTCTATAGTCTGGACTATAGATCAGTCTTTAGTCTGGACTATAGATCTGTCTATAGTCTGGACTATAGATCAGTCGTTAGTCTGGACTATAGATCTGTCTATAGTCTGGACTATAGATCAGTCTATAATCTGGACTATAGATCAGTCTAAAGTCTGGACTATAGATCAGTCTAAAGTCTGGACTGTAGATCTATCTATAGTCTAGACTATAGATGAGTCTATAGTCTGAACTTTATAGTCTGAAATATAACTCTGTCCTTCCGTTTGGAGAGGAAATTTGCTTTTATTTCGTATTTTTCTTTCCTCTTTTAAACTTTTTTTTAAATCACTCAAAATAAAACTAGTTTTTGTAATTTTTAAAGTTCATCATTTGTTTGAAAGCCATTCAAAATAAAAATTAAACTAAATTTGGCAACACTTTATGTTTTGTCTTTTAATCAACCTAACTTACTGGCAAATAAAATATAACACATCACAATAAAACTGTTAAATACAAAATCTAAAAAAAATCTATAAATTATTTCACACTAATTATGCATATAAATCGGTCGTATATCCAAGAAATCCAAATTGTCTTTCACCTTTTCCGTATGATGGACTGTGTGATTAAGATTTGTGGGTGCTACATAGCCTAAAGCACGACCACGTGGTGATATAACTAAATGAGCATAGTTTTGTGAAGACCCCTGATATGAGACCACCGAAGGTGCAGCATCAATTATTAAAGTCTGCTGTATAACCGGTTGTGAGGAAATCGGGGAGAAAAAGCAGACGAAATTCAGCAGAAATAGGCTTACAATATAAACACCGGGTAACTAGATAAGACGAGAAATTTATTAGGAATCTTTTAATTGTTATACTTTTGAAATGTTTTTTTTTTTGTATCTTAAAAACAACTTACTTTATTCATGTTGCTGGATTGAAAGTGCTTTATAGACTGTTTATTATAATAATAAGAGTCATTTTACAGTTTGTACTTTAATATTTCTTTTACTAGTTTTGTTGTTGTTGTTATTTGTCTTTTTTTCACAAGATACTCAAGAGGTACTTTTAGGAATTGAGTGATTTACTTTAACACAAAAAAAAAAACTAAAGAAAAAAATAATATAAAATGTTATAAGAAAAAAAAATAGAAGGTGTGTGTGCTCACAATTATTTACGTAAATAATAGCAACAATTTTTATATGAAGCATAAAACAACTACAACAAATAATTGTAGTAAATAGTAAGAAATACAAAAACAATAATAATAATAATAATACTCCAGCAAAATCTTTACAAATCCAAAACAACCCGCAACAAAAGTATGATTTTTTTTATTATTTATTTACAAAATATTGAAAAAAGTGAAGGTTGTATATAAAATAAAAATAATACTGGTGTGTTAATTTAAACATAAAAAAAGTTATTCAGAAACAATCTTAAATACTAGAAGGTGGTAGACGAATTCAAAGAAACTGTACTTAAATTTATTGAAAATATATAAGAGATGCTGATATTGAAATTAACTAAAGAAACTGGAAAGCTTGATCTCTAAAAGGAACTGAAGTGGTGAAGTCAGCAGTGTGATGATCAAATCATTATCTAAGTATTAAAGATTCCAATTGGAAGGCTTGACAATACTCGATCTCAAAGATAATATGATCTAAAGATTAATGAAGATATCTTTAGGAAAACGTTAATTAGTAGAAACAATTACAATTAATTAGTGAGATCCATTAGGATGGCTTGACAATACTAAAGAGATGAAATAGTCTTTGAATGGAAGAAATGAAATAGCCGATGAAAGTGACTGAAAAGTTGTTTTGAAACCTACATATCAATCAAAAAGGCATTGAGAAGAAATCAATCTTAGAATTCAGTATTCTACGGAGGAAATAATCTTTTGAACTAAATAAGAAAAGTGTTTTTGGAATCGACGGAAGACAGTTTCGATGAACGCTTCTTTGGATGAGAAATTTTCAGAATTTAAGCCTAAGTCTATACTTTAAAAGTGTCTGATTACGGACAATTAAGAAAAAATGTTTCAATGGATTATTTTTGATCCGAAGGTAGACAGAGTCGATGAAAGATCTATCAATCTATCTATCGCCATCAGTCTGATATGCCTTAAGGAAATCAATCATTGGTATCTGAGTACGAATGAAGTCTGTTCTGGTGAAATTGTCTTTGAAAGTGAATGATTACAAACAACTACGAAAGAATGTTGCTATCGATCACCAACATTTCACAGACTATAAGTACAAATTTGTCAGCATTTGAAAAAACATTGAGAAGAAATCCATAGAATTTGATTCCTTATAAAGGAAACTGTCATTGATATCGATGGAACTAAGTTCCGATAAAAGAGGCTTTGGAACTTTTTTCATAATTTAAGGCCAAATTGGGTACTCATATGAAAAGCATTAAGAGCAATCGCTCGAGCAGCATTCGGCTTATTAGGAAGGAAGTGTCAGCGATGGAAGACAGATTCGATAAAGGAGTCTGTGACATTCATCTAAATGGCTTTAAGGAGCATTAAATTTCTGTTCGAGTACGAAGACAAGTTCCGAATGGCCTTTGAAAGACAGTTCCAATGAAAGTTGTTTGGATTAACCTTTTTCATTATAACGAAATGAAAAACGAAAGACCTTAAGGTTTTAAGATCAATCAGTCAGGCAGCATACGGCGTATTATGAAGTAAAGTGTAAGCGATCGATAAAAAAAGTCTTTGGAATCAGTCTCAAAAGTTTAAAGGAGCAATCAATTTCTGTTAGAGTAGGATTCCGTTCATTGCGAAGAAGAGTGGAAAACAGCGACGTTGTATAAAGGACGTTAATTACGAAGAAGAATTCCAAACAACACGTGGAAAACTTATATTTTGTATAAGGAACTTTATGAAGGTTCCAACCGAACTATATCTTTGGAAGTGACGGAAGAATTTTGCTATCAGAGCTTCATTTGGAAGTGACAGATTACCAAACCTTTTAATCAGTCTAAAAGGTTTTAAGGAACAATCAATCTCTGTTCGAGTAGGATTTCGTTCATTACGTAGTAGAGTTCCAAACAGCATGTAGAAAACTGCGATTTTTTATAAAGGTCTTCATGGAGATTCCAACGAACTAGTTGCTGATTACGAAGTCTTTGGAATCAGTCTCTAAGGTTTTAAGTATCAATCAATCTATGTTAGAGTAGGATTCCGTTCATTGCGAAAAAGAGTGGGAAATAGCGACTTTGTATAGAGAACGAAGAAGAAGAGAGTTCCAAACAACATGTAGAAAACTGCGACTTTGTATAAAGGTCTTCATGGAGATTCCAACCGAACTAGTTGCAGATTACGAAGTCTTTGGAATCAGTCTCAAAGGTTTTAAGGATCAATCAACCTATGTTAGAGTAGGATTCTGTTCATTGCGAAAAAGAGTGGGAAACAGCGACTTTGTATAAAGGACGAAGAAGAAGAGAGTTCCAAACAACATGTAGAAAACTGCGACTTTGTATAAACGTCTTCATGGAGATTCCAACCGAACTAGTTGCAGATTACGAAGTCTTTGGAATCAGTCTCTAAGGTTTTAAGGATCAATCAATCTATGTTAGAGTAGGATTCTGTTCATTGCGAAAAAGAGTGGGAAACAGCTTCTTTGTATAAAGGACGAAGAAGAAGAGAGTTCCAAACTACATGTAGAAAACTGCGACTTTGTATAAAGGTCTTCATGGAGATTCCAACCGAACTAGTTGCAGATTACGAAGTCTTTGGAATCAGTCTCTAAGGTTTTAAGGATCAATCAATCTATGTTAGAGTAGGATTCCGTTCATTGCGAAAAAGAGTGGGAAATAGCGACTTTGTATAGAGGACGAAGAAGAAGAGGGTTCCAAACAACATGTAGAAAACTGCGACTTTGTATAAAGGTCTTCATGGAGATTCCAACCGAACTAGTTGCAAATTACGAAGTCTTTGGAATCAGTCTCTAAGGTTTTAAGGATCAATAAATCTCTGTTCGAGTATGATTCCGTTCATTGCGAAGAAGAGTGGAAAACTGAGACTTTGTATAAAGGACGAAGAAAAAGAGAGTTCCAAACAACATGTAGAAAACTGCGACTTTGTATAAAGGTCTTCATGGAGATTCCAACCGAACTAGTTGCAGATTACGAAGTCTTTGGAATCAGTCTCAGAGGTTTTAAGGATCAATAAATCTCTGTTGGAGTATGATTCCGTTCATTGCGAAAAAGAGTGGGAAATAGCGACTTTGTATAGAGGACGAAGAAGAAGAGGGTTCCGAACAACATGTAGAAAACTGCGACTTTGTATAAAGGTCTTCATGGAGATTCCAACTGAACTAGTTGCAGGTTACGAAGTCTTTGGAATCAGTCTCAGAGGTATAAAGGACTTTAAGTACGAAGAAGAAATCCAAAATACACGTTTAAAACTTCGACTTTGTATAAGGAGACTTCATGAAGGTTCCAACGGAACTATATCTTTGGAAGTGACGGAAGAATGTTGCCATCAAAGATTCATTTGAAAGTTGCAGATAGCTGCTCCGGCTTGATTCAATTATGGAAATAAATATGGAAGGTTAAATATCTGTAGAAGCGACCATTGTTTGTTATTCTGATTGATTCCATTTTGGCGTCCGATGTAATGCTGATGGTATAAGCTTTGCCAAGTTTTGGCTTGCTGCCTATAGCCATATGAACTATTATAGGGTACAAAACAAACTGATATGTATATGTATAATGGCAAAACAAATCAAAGAAATCAGTGCTAATAACCAACTTATTACTCAGCATATTGAGTCAACAATAAACCATAAAAAAACCAACCAACTAGGCATCCAGCAACCGAACAAAAGAGCGAGCGATTATAACATAAACCAAAACAAAATAATAGCAAATAGACCATTGGCAGCAGCTCTCTAGCTCCAGCGGTAGCAGCAGCAATGGCAGCAGCGTTTTATTCTGGCTGGAACTACTATTTACTAACGTTGGTTTCAAATTATAGACACACATTTCAATATTAGTGCAATTGAAACCAACGCCAACCAAGTGATTTTTTTTTGTGCCAAAACGTTAAAAAGTAATAACAAATACTTGAGCAATTAATTGTTTAACAAACAAATAAAAAACAACTAAAGAAATTTTAACAACCTCTAAAAAAAACTTCACACATTTTTTTGTTGCTAAAGTTTTAAATTAAACATTAAAAAATATTTAATTAAATTATAAATGTTTTTTAAACTAAATGATCATGCCAATTTGTGAGAATACTTCAAGGAACTTCAATAACTTATAAATGAATTAAACATTTTTATATAAATAATAAACATGAATTGCGAAATGTAATTAGTTGCTGTTATAAGTTGTCATAAAGAAGATTTTGTCAAAGACGAAATGGTTAGTAGTAGTTAAAGTTTGTAATAAAAATAAACAAAATGTTTTTAAATTAAAATGTTTTCAGTTAAAACTACTGTTTTTACTAATTGCTGTAGTTGCTTGCCATGCGGGTCTGCTGTATCCTGAGGTGCCAATTACGTCAGCTGTTACAAATGTTCACTCTCCTACGGCTATATCACATCAATCAATTACACATATACACACCAAAGATCACCAGTTGCTTGTTAAGCCACAGGATTTTGTTCTAAACAAGGAAACATTACCTACACTTCACAAGGAAAGTTCACATCTGGATAATATAGTATTTTCTTCTACTGATAATTCAGCCGAAAATGAAGAGTTTGACCATATTAAATCATCTGAATTTGATACTTCTTCACCCTATATTAGTTATAAGGATACTACTCCAGTGTTCACTAGTCACTCACATACTCCAGCTCATTTAACTTATGCTGCTCGACCTATAGTGTACAAAATGTTACCTCAACATAAAACATCGGTTCTTAACAAAAGTTATGAAGCATTTCTTACTAGTCCTAGACTTAAGTCTTATAATTAGTAGCAACATTTAAGTTTTAACATTTTATTATAATTATATGTAATTAGTTAGTCAAAGTCATGTTATATAAAATAAAAATATATATTTCGATGCTCTTGAACGAAAACTGTCAAAACCTGCGAACATAATTTCATTCAAAATGGATTTTCATATGAAAATCGACTCTATATCCTTAAATAAGCTTCCAATTAAGAAAATCGTAAAAGTCTGCGACACTTACATTTTTTATAAAAGTTCAGTTCTTGTTTAGTTTTAGTTCGGTTCTAGTTCAGTTCTAGTTCAGTTCTAGTTCAGTTCTAGTTCAGTTCTAGTTCAGTTCTAGTTCAGTTCTAGTTCAGTTCTAGTTCAGTTCTAGTTCAGTTCTAGTTCAGTTCTAGTTCAGTTCTAGTTCAGTTCTAGTTCAGTTCTAGTTCAGTTCTAGTTCAGTTCTAGTTCAGTTCTAGTTCAGTTCTAGTTCAGTTCTAGTTCAGTTCTAGTTCAGTTCTAGTTCAGTTCTAGTTCAGTTCTAGTTCAGTTCTAGTTCAGTTCTAGTTCAGTTCTAGTTCAGTTCTAGTTCAGTTCTAGTTCAGTTCTAGTTCAGTTCTAGTTCAGTTCTAGTTCAGTTCTAGTTCAGTTCTAGTTCAGTTCTAGTTCAGTTCTAGTTCAGTTCTAGTTCAGTTCTAGTTCAGTTCTAGTTCAGTTCTAGTTCAGTTCTAGTTCAGTTCTAGTTCAGTTCTAGTTCAGTTCTAGTTCAGTTCTAGTTCAGTTCTAGTTCAGTTCTAGTTCAGTTCTAGTTCAGTTCTAGTTCAGTTCTAGTTCAGTTCTAGTTCAGTTCTAGTTCAGTTCTAGTTCAGTTCTAGTTCAGTTCTAGTTCAGTTCTAGTTCAGTTCTAGTTCAGTTCTAGTTCAGTTCTAGTTCAGTTCTAGTTCAGTTTTAGTTCAGTTCTAGTTCAGTTCTAGTTCAGTTCTAGTTCAGTTCTAGTTCAGTTCTAGTTCAGTTCTAGTTCAGTTCAGTTCTAGTTCAGTTCTAGTTCAGTTCTAGTTCAGTTCTAGTTCAGTTCTAGTTAAGTTCTAGTTCAGTTCTAGTTCAGTTCTAGTTCAGTTCTAGTTCAGTTCTAGTTCAGTTCTAGTTCAGTTCTAGTTCAGTTCTAGTTCAGTTCTAGTTCAGTTCTAGTTCAGTTCTAGTTCAGTTCTAGTTCAGTTCTAGTTCAGTTCTAGTTCAGTTCTAGTTCAGTTCTAGTTCAGTTCTAGTTCAGTTCTAGTTCAGTTCTAGTTCAGTTCTAGTTCAGTTCTAGTTCTAGTTCAGTTCTAGTTCAGTTCTAGTTCAGTTCTAGTTCAGTTCTAGTTCAGTTTAGTTCGTTAGTTCAGTTCTAGTTTAGTTCTAGTTCTAGTTCGTTCTAGTTCAGTTCTAGTTCAGCTTTAGTTCAGTTCTAGTTCAGTTCTAGTTCAGTTCTAGTTCAGGTTCTAGTTCAGTTCTAGTTCAGTTCTAGTTTAGTTCTAGTTCAGTTCTAGTTCAGTTCTAGTTCCAGTTCTAGTTCAGTTCTAGTTCAGTTCTAGTTCAGTTCTAGTTCAGTTCTAATTCAGTTCTAGTTCAGTTCTAGTTCAGTCTAGTTCAGTTCTAGTTTCAGTTCTAGTTCAGTTCTAGTTCAGTTCTAGTTCAGTTCTAGTTCAGTTCTAGTTCAGTTCTAGTTTAGTTTCTAGTTAGTTCTAATTTGAGATTCTAGTTCAGTTCCAGTTCAGTTCCAGTTAGTTCCAGTTCAGTTCCAGTTCAGTTCTATTTCAGTTTTAAAAACGCTCCAATTTAGAAAAAATAGTTAAAATCTGCGATTATTGATATTATTCATCAAAAATGGATTTTCGTATGAATAATCTAAAATCGTCTATGAGCCTTAAATAATGATCCAATTAAAAATTATTTTTTTGTATAATAAACCTAAAATCGGAATAGAACCTTATATGACGTTCCAATTGGGAAAATAACAAAAGTTTGTGATTTTTTATAAAACGTGTTTTTATTTATTATCGAAAATTAATCAACAACAAATATTTTAACAAAAATCTAAACTCGATCATTCACTCATTGAAATACTTAATGAACATAAAGAGTTTTAACGACGGGAGTAGCATGAACTACAGATTTAACTACTGGAGTAACAACAGTTTTTTGGTGATGAGTTATGGCATGACTTTGATGGGAAACAGCATGATTGACAATGGGATGGGAAACAGTTTTGACTACAGGAACAGCAGTTTCAACAGTCTTGACTACGGGAGCAGCGGCAGCATAGGTATGGACTACTGGAGTGGCTACAGTTTTAACTACTGGGATAACAGGTTCAACAGTTTTGACTACAGGAGCAGCTTCAGCATAGGTGTGATGAACAATTGGAGTAGCAACAGTTTTTACTACGGGAGCGGCATGATAAGAGTGTACAGTTTTCACAACAGGGGTAGCATGATAAGTGTGGACTACTGGAGTGGCTACAGTTTTGATGACGGGGGCAGCGGCAGCATAAGTATGTACAACAGGAGCGGCAACAGTTTTCACTACAGGAGTAACTACATGAGTTTTGCTATGAACTTGAGAGAAACTCTGATGGGAAACGGCGGAGGGTACAGTGTGAGCCACTTTAGTTACTACAGGTTGAACAACATGAGTTTCAGCCACAAAACCAGGAGCAGCCACAGCAACGGCAATCAAAGCAAAGAAGGAAACCTTAAAGAAATTTTATAGAAAAATCTAATTTAATAAAAAATTTAAAGAAAAATTAAACTAAAACTTACAAATTTGAACATTTTAATTTTTTTTGGAGGAACTTTGAATAAAAGTATGTTATTTACTTGAAAACACCCTAAAAGTGAATAATATTGCATTGAAAAATGTTTGCCATTTTTATACAAATTTGCGTTTTTTTCAAAAAATTTTTTGAAAATCCTTGCAATTTACAATTTATTAATTGTTAATAATTTGTTAAAATTCTGACCTTAAAATATTATCAAATAATACGAATAATGCTTTTCTAATTAAATAACCATTTGTTATCAATAATAGTTTATAATAAATTTTAAAAAAAGCTTAAATTTGCTAACAACATTGAACTTGAACCTGAATAAATTTTAAGAAAATAAAAAAGGTTCATTTACTAAAGCCCATAATCAATCAATTGCCTATAAAGGTTATTTATTTTTAAATTGTTATTTTATGATTATTATTTTTTATTCAACTATTATTCAACAACTAATAATAATTGTCTAATTAACCATTGCACAGCGGGTGTTTAATTCGCAAAAAAATTATTAAAAATATATTTACAATTTGTAATGAAAATAAATAAATAAATCTCAAATCATTATGTTGGCTACTGCTTTATTTTTTGCATAATACTTAAAACCTTTGTGAAGTTTTTTTATTGGTCATTTATCTGTGCTTTTGCTGTTTTTTAAAGGGGTATTTTATTTAATTGCCTTAAAGTATTGTTCCATTACGGCTAATGATTTTTTGTGCAATTTATTATGAAATTAAGGATAATTTAATTAAATGTGTTGGGTTGTTTTTGTTCGGTTTGCTAGCCGGAAGGATGAAGTTGTGTTGGCCATGTTTGATTAGGGTGGTACTGTTTGAAGAGTTAAGTTTAAGTTCTATTCATGTTCAGTTCTAGTTCAGTTCTAGTTCAGTTCTAGTTCAGTCCTAGTTTCAGTTCTAGTTCAGTTTAGTTTCAAGTTCTAGTTCAGTTCTAGTTCAGTTCTAGTTCAGTTCTAGTCAGTTCAGTCAGTTCTAGTTCAGTTCTAGTTCAGTTTAGTTCAGTTCTAGTTCAGTTCTAGTTCAGTTCTAGTTCAGTTCTAGTTCAGTTCTCAGGTCAGTTCTAGTTCATTCTAGGTTCAGCTTCTAGTTCAGTTCTAGTTTCAGTTCTAGTTCAGTTCTAGTTCAGTTCTAGTTCAGTTCTAGTTCAGTTCTAGTTCAGTTCTAGTTCAGTTCTAGTTCAGTTCTAGTTCAGTTAGTTCAGTTCTAGTTCAGTTCTAGTTCAGTTCTAGTTCAGTTCTAGTTCAGTTCTAGTTCAGTTCTAGTTCAGTTCTAGTTCAGTTCTAGTTCAGTTCTAGTTCAGTTCTAGTTCAGTTCTAGTTCAGTTCTAGTTCAGTTCTAGTTCAGTTCTAGTTCAGTTCTAGTTCAGTTCTAGTTCAGTTCTAGTTCAGTTCTAGTTCAGTTCTAGTTCAGTTCTAGTTCTAGTTCAGTTCTAGTGTTGTAGTTCAGTTCTAGTTCAGTTCTAGTTCAGTTCTAGTTCAGTTCTAGTTCAGTTCTAGTTCAGTTCTAGTTCAGTTCTAGTTCAGTTCTAGTTCAGTTCTAGTTCAGTTCTAGTTCAGTTCTAGTTCAGTTCTAGTTCAGTTCTAGTTCAGTTCTAGTTCAGTTCTTAGTTTCATTTCTCGTTACGTTCTAGTTCCGCTTCGTAGTTCAGCTCTCTAGTTCAGTTCTAGTTCAGTTCTAGTTCAGTTTCTAGTTCAGTTCTAGTTCGTTCTAGTTCATTCTATGTTCAGTTCTAGTCATTTTAGTTCAGTTCTAGTTCAGTTCTAGTTTCCAGTTCTAGTTCAGGTTCTAGTTCAGTTCTAGTCAGTTGCCCTCATAGTTCCGTTCTAGTTCAGTTCTAGTTCAAGTTCTAGTTCAGTTTTCTAGTTTCAGTTATCGTTCAAGTTCTAGTTCAGTTTCTAGTTCAGTTCTTAGTTCAGTTCTAAGTTCAGTTCTAGTTCAGTTTCGTTCAGTTCTAGTTCAGTTTCTAGTTCAGGTTTCTAGTTCAGTTCTAGTTCAGTTCTAGTTCAGTTCTAGGTTCGGTTCTATTTCCGTTCTAGTTCAGTTTTCTAGTTCAGTTCTAGTTTCAGTTCTAGTTTCAGTTCTAGGTTCAGTTCTAGTTCAGTTCTAGTTCCGTTCTAGTTTCAGTTCTAGTTCAGTTCTAGTTCAGTTCTAGTTCAGTTCTAGTTCAGTTCTAGTTCAGTTCTAGTTCAGTTCTAGTTCAGTTCTAGTTCAGTTCTAGTTCAGTTCTAGTTCAGTTCTAGTTCAGTTCTAGTTCAGTTCCAGTTCAGTTCTAGTTCAGTTCTAGTTTCAGTTCTAGTTCAGTTTCTAGTTCAGTTCTAGTTCAGTTTAGTTCAGTTCTAGTTCAGTTCTAGAATAGAAATTATAAGAGTTTTTAGTTAATTCAACTTTTTCGACCCAAAAAAAAAATGGAATTTTGAAAGAAAGTATGGGTGATTACAAAATAACCTTATTTTTCAACTTAAATGCGATTTAGTCAAATTGTAAACGATTTAGGTTTTTCGACAAAAAATCGAATTTTGAAAGAAAGAATGGGTGTTCACAAAATAAGCATATTTTTCAAATTAAATGCGTTTTAAGGAAATTATAGGTTTTTTAGATTTTTCAACTTTTTCCACCAAAAAATCGAATTTTGAAAGAAAATAAGCTTATTTTTATACCCACCATCAAAAAGATGGGGGTATCGAAATATTGGTCATAGACCCATAAAAGTATGTATATATATTCCGGGTCCTTATTAAATTCTAAGACGATGTAGCCATGTCCGTCCGTCTGTCCGTCTGTCTGTTGAAATCACGATAGGGACCACACGAGAGGTGCTAGACAGTTGAAATTTTGCGTAAATATTTTATATTGCTAAGGTTTGTTTGGTATTGAAAATGGGCAATATCGGTCCACTTTTTCGGATAGCCCCCATACAAATGGACCTCCAAAAAACAGATTTAACGGGAATAACTGCTTTAGAAGTACGAATATAGCGATGAAATTCGACATAACTAAGTTTCATATGAGTCAGAATCTTTTTACCAATTTTTTTTTGAGGATAGAAAATGACTTTAACACTCATTACTGGCCCAAAAATGCGAGTATAGCGATGAAATTCGGTAAAAGTAAGTTTCTTACGAATCAAAACCTCTCTACTAATTTTTTTTAGGATCGGCCCATAAATGACCCTACCCCCCATATAAGGTCCTCTTTAGAAAAAAAGCTAACACTAATTACTGGCCTAAAAATTCGAGTATTGCGATGAAATTCGGTATAAGTAAATTTCTTACGAACAAAAACCATTTAACCATTTTTTAGGATCGGCCCATAAATGACCCTACCCCCCATATAAGGTCCCCTTTAGAAAATTACTTTAACACACATTACTCGCCCAAAAATGCGAGTATAGCGATGAAATCGGTATGAGTATGTTCTTAAGAACCAAAATCTCTCTACCAATTTTTTTAGGATCGGCCCATAAATGACCCTACCCCCATATAAGGTCCCCTTTGGAAAATGACTTTAACACTCATTACTGGCCCAATAATGCGAGTATAGCGATGAAATTCGGTATAAGTACGAACCAAATCATTAACCATTTTTTTTAGGATCGGCCCATAAATGACCCTTCCAACCTCCCCCCCCCCATATAGGGTCCCCTTTAGAAAATGACTTTAACACTCATTACTGGCTCAAAAATGCGAGTATAGCGATGAAATTCGGTACAAGTAAGTTTCTTACGAACCAAAACCTATCCATCAATTTTTTTTAGGATCGGCCCATAAATGACCCTACCCCCATTCAAGGTCCCCTTCTGAAAATGGGTTTAACACTCATTACTAGCGCAAAAATGCGGGTATAGCGATGAAATTCGGTATAAGTAAGTTTCTTACGAACCAAAATCGCTCTATCAATTTTTTGTTAAGAGCGGCCCATAAAAACCACCCATATAAGGTCCCCTTCTGAAAATGACTTTAACGCTCATTACTGCTTAAAAAATACGAATATAGCAATAAAATTTTACACAATTAAGTTCCTCGCGAGCCAAATTCTCTTTACTAACTTTTATGTGGATAGGTCCATAACTGACCCTTCTCCCTCTATTGGGTCTCCTTCAGGAAATGGCTTTAACGCTCATTACTGTCTTAAAAATACGAGTAAAGCGATGAAATACGACACACGTAAGTTTCTTGTAAGCCAAAACCTCTGTACTATTTTTTTTCTTTTTTGGATCGGCACATAAATGACCCTTCCCGATATAAGGTCCTCCTCTACAAATGACTATAATGCTCATTGCTGGCTTTAAAATATTAATGTAGTGACGAAATTTGACACACATAAGTTTAAAGCGAGCCAAAATCCCTCTACCAAATTTAGGGAGGATCGGTCCATAATTTGCTCTACAGCCCATACAAGGTATCCTTCAGAAAATTACTTTAACGCTCATTACTGGTTAAAAAATACGAGTATAGCGATAAAATGTGATACAATTATATAAGTTCCTCGCGAGCCAAATCTCTCTACCAAATCGTATGTGGATCGGTCCATAATTGACCATACCCTCCATATAAGGTCCCCTTCAGAAAATTACTTAAACGATCATTACTGGCTTAGAAATATTAGTTATGAAATACGGTTAAGAAATTCGCTGCGAATTTCATGCGGAATGTGTCGGTAATTCAGAAAAATTACTCATACGCTCACGGTATAAAAATTGAACTAAAATATTTGGGTTTTAAAAATTAATATTTTGTTAGTTCAAAAGAGCTCGGTCCATAGTTGCATATTTCAAATATCACCCTGATGTTTATAGGGGAGCATTGCTTTTACGGCATACGGTTTGATGGTGGCTATATGAGATTAGGCACAGCCGAATATAACACTCTTACTTGTTCAATTTAAATGCGTTTTGACGAAGTTATAGGGTTTTTAGTTCTTTTCTCGACCAAAAAATCGAATTTTGAAAAAAAGATGGATGATCACAAAATAAGCTTATTTTCCTTTCCATATTAATTTTAAAGAAGTTCTGAATAAAAATAGCACCAGATTATTGAAATTTTTTAAATAATTTTTTTATTATAATTATATTAACTAAACAACGATCAAATCATTTTGCCAACTATCTTTAAGTACTCAACAACTTAATGATGGAAACTATAAGATGCGGGAAGTACAGTTTTGTGTACAACAGGGGCGGCATGGACAGAGTGTACAACGGGTGCAGCAGCATAGGTGTGAACAACGGGAGCCGACTTGACATATTCATGTACAACAGGAGCGGTATGAACAACAGGGGCAGTCTTAACCACAGACACAACAGGGGCAGCATGAACGGTAGTCTTTACGACAGGTGTAACAACTGGGGTAACAACAGCCTTGTTGTGATAACGGGTAATACTTTGATGTGACACAGCCGATGGAGCAGAATGGACAACAGATCCAACCTTAGCTAAGACAGGTTCCTGGACAACATGATGGGTTTCAATGAGTCCAGCGCTGACAGTAGCCAAGCAGAAGATAGCAATGCAAGCAATCTAATAGGAAAAATTAAAAACATTAATGATTTTTCGTATAAAGTATTTTCATAAAAATCACTTACAGATTTGTACATGTTTATTAAGTTTAGGTTTGGTTGATTTCTGTTTAAGAGTTTACAGATAACTGTTGATATTTTTTACAAATTCATTTGTTTTTATACTTTTTTAATGTTTAACTCTTTAATGTGTCAGTGTCTTTCAGATCTATTACAGTCATAAAAATCCCTTTAATTACTCTGCACGCATATAGTTCAGTTTGAGACAGGTTTATTGACCTTCGTTTGTATTTTAGGTGATTAATTTGTGTTAACAAGCATGCCCACCTCAATTCAATTTAATGTTCAATCACAAAACGCATTTATTTATGTATAAACGAGTAGTTTTTCATAATGATTAGAAACTGCATGATAATGTTTTGGGTGAAGCTGATGCAAAATGGTAATAAACCTTTTATTGAAGTAATTATTATTTGGTTGATTTGACAAATTCGCTTTTTTCAGTGTCTATGGAACAGCATTACTAAAGATCATTCTATAGTCTATAGATCAGTCCATATTCCGGACTATAGATCAAAATATACTGTGGACTACAGATCAGTTTATAACCTGGACAATAGATCAGCCTATAGTCTGCAATATAGATCAGTTTATAATGTGGATTATAAATCAGTATATAGTTTGGATTATAGGTCAGTCTTGACTATAGATCAGTCTATAGTCTTGACTGCAGATCAGTCTATATTCTTGACTATAGATCGGTCTATAGTCTTGACTATAGATCAGTCTAAACTTTTTACTGTAGATCAGTCTATAGTCAGGACTATAGATCAGTCTATAGTTTTGACTGTAGATCAGTCCATAGTCTTCACTATAGATCAGTCCATAGTCTTCACTTTAAATCAGTCTGTAGTCTTCGCTATAGATCAGTCTATAGTATGTATTATGGATCAGAGTATAATTATGAATATAGATCAGTTTATAGTCCTGATTATAGATCAGTCTATAGTTTTGATGTTAGATCAGTCTATAGTATTGCTTATAGATCGATCAGTCTATAGTCTGGTCTATAGATCAGTTTATAGTCTGCTCTATATACCAGCCTATAGTCTGATCGATAGATCAGTCTATAGTCTGGACTGTAGATCAGCCCCTTAACTATAAATCAGTTTATATTCTTAGCTATAGATCAGTCTAAAGTCTTGACAACAGATTTCTTTCTTTTACTATGTTTTCACTATAGATCTATCTATTGTCTTGACTATAGATTGGTCTGTAGTCTTGACTGTAGATTAGTCTGTAGTCTTGACTGTAAACCTTTCTATAGTCGTGACTATAGATCAGTTTATAGTATTGACTGTAGCGCATTCTATAGTCGTGACTATATATCAGTCTATAGTATTTACTATAGATCAGTTTATAGTCTTGACTATATAGTCTATAGTCTTGATTATAGATCATTCTATAGTCTTGACTATAGATCTGTTTATAGTCTTGATTATAGATCACTAGTCTTGACTACAAGTAAGTCTATAGTCTTGACTATAGATCAATCTATAGTAGATTAGTTTATAGCCTTGACTATAGATCAGTCTATAGTTTGGCTTTAGATCAATAGATCACTAGTGTTGACTACAAGTAAGTCTATAGTCTTGACTATAGATCAATCTATAGTAGATTAGTTTATAGCCTTGACTATAGATCAGTCTATAGTTTGGCTTTAGATCAATCTATAGATAGATTATAGCCTTGACTATAGATCAGTCTATAGTTTGGCTTTAGATCAATAGATCACTAGTCTTGACTACAAGTAAGTCTATAGTCTTGACTATAGATCAATCTATAGTAGATTAGTTTATAGCCTTGACTATAGATCAGTCTATAGTTTGGCTTTAGAGTTTTCATTATAGATCTCTTCCAATTCTCGACGACAAGTAAGTCTATAGTCTTGACTATAGATCAATCTATAGTGCATCAGTCAATAGCCTTGACTATAGATCAGTCAATAGTCTTGACTCTAGATCGGTCTATAGTCTTGACTATAGATCAGTCAGTAGTCTTCACTATAGATCTGTCAATAGTCTTCACTATAGATCAGTCTATAGTTTGGAATATAGATCAGTCCATAGTCTTTATCGATGCAATAAAAATAAAACATTTTTTAAAACATACATAGTTTCATTTTTTGTTTTACTTTGTGGAGGTCAATAAACCAGCTTCGTAGTAAACAAATGCCTTTTAAAATGTATACAATTTTACTATTGTAAACATGGTCACACTTAAACATAAAAGTTTATCTTTGAAACATAAAAGTATAAAAACAAATGATCTTTACGAATAAATCAACAGTTTCTTGTGAACTTTTAAACATAAAACAAACCAACCTAACCCAATTAAACATGTACAAATCTGTAAGTAAATCAATATCTTTAATACTCTATAGGTTTTATCCTAATTCCATATTTCTGCAAATCAGATTGCTTGCATTGCCCTCTTCTGCTTGGCTACTGTCAGCGCTGGACTCATTGAAACTCATCATGTTGTCCAGGAACCTGTCTTAGCTAAGGTAGGCTCTGTTGTTCATTCTGCTCCCTCGGCGGTGTCGCATCAAAGTATTACCCGTTACCACAACAAAGCCGTCGTTACCCCAGTTGTCACTCCTGTCGTAAAGACTACTGTTCATGCTGCCCCTGTTGTATCTGTGGTCAAGTCGGCTCCAGTTGTTCACACTTATGCTGCTGCTCCTGTAGTACACTCTGTACCTGTGGTCCATGCTGCCCCTGTTGTGCACAAAACTGTTATTCCCGCTACTTATAGTTTCCATCATTAAGTTCCTGTATTGCAGAAAACCTTTTGTGATATGATTTGTTAGTTGTTTAGTAAAATGGACTGGAATAAAAAAAATGTTACATATTTAATTATATGGTGTTTATTTACTGATTGAACGTCTATGCAAAGAAATCATGGATCCAGTACACGGATATTTTCGGGAAGGGTAACTTGTTCCAATATATATGGCCGATTCAGTTTAAGTCTCATTTGAAGTAATTGTCGAAAATGTAAACATTTTAATACTAGAGCTTATAACAAACTTATTGTCAAAATATTAATTTTAATAAATGTTAGTAAATATTTATTATTATTATGATGTGAACCGAACATGTTACCCTGATGCTGATATGGTGAGCCTGAGTTTGTTTAAAATATGTCAATTCCGTATCGGTTATCGTTAGAAATATCGTTTCGATTTAGATGCAATCGAATACAAATACCTTAATAAGATCTCTTAGAATGAAACTGATTTCACATTCTTCTTGTTCTTGGTTTTATTTTAGCTCGATCGCATAAATATTTGATATGAAATGTGATGTTATTAAGAATAATGTTATCGATTAGTTACGCTTGTATTTAAATAGAAAATATATTTCAGGCCGGACTATCTGTATTTTTTTAGAAATTAAAATATTTTTTTTGTAAGGTGGGTTTTATGGAGGAAATGATCAATTACAGATCGATTCTATGACATATATATAACTTTATAGTTTTGACTTTAGATCAGTCTATAGTCTTGACTATAGATCAGTCTATAGTCTTGACTATAGATCAGTCTATAGTCTTGACTATAGATCAGTCTATAGTCTTGACTATAGATCATCTAGTTCTATAGTCTTGACTATATATCAGTCTATAGTCTTGACTATAGATCAGTCTATAGCCTTGACTATAGATCAGTCTATACTCTTGACTATAGATCAGTCTATAGTCTTGACTATAAATCAGTCTATAGTCTTGACTATAGATCAGTCTATAGTCTTGACTATAGATCAGTCTATAGTCTTGACTATAGATCAGTCTATAGTCTTGACTATAGATCAGTCTATAGTCTTGACTATAGATCAGTCTATAGTCTTGACTATAGATCAGTCTATAGTCTTGACTATAGATCAGTCTATAGTCTTGACTATAGATCAGTCTATAGTCTTGACTATAGATCAGTCTATAGTCTTGACTATAGATCAGTCTATAGTCTTGACTATAGATCAGTCTATAGTCTTGACTATAGATCAGTCTATAGTCTTGACTTTAGATCAGTCTATAGTCTTGACTATAGATCAGTCTATAGTCTTGACTATAGATCAGTCTATTGATAGTCTTGAATATAGATCAGTTTATAGTCTTGAATATAGATCAGTCTATAGTCTTGAATATAGATCAGTCTATAGTCTTGAATATAGATCAGTCTATAGTCTTGACTATAGATCAGTCTATAGTCTTGACTATAAATCAATCTATAGTCTTGACCATAGATCATTCTATAGTCTTGACTATAGATCAGTCTATAGTCTTGACTATAGATCAGTCTATAGTCTTGACTATAGATCAGTCCATAGTCTTGACTATAGATCAGTCTATAGTCTGGAATATAGATCAGTTTATAGTCAGATCAATCCTCAAAACATTTGCTAGAGAGATGGGGTTCCTATAAATGTTGTTTTTGTAGAATTCACCGTCAATAGTGAGTGAATTTTCTGATGACGCTTATTAAACCAGAATGGGGTGTTTAAGTATTTTTCTAAACGCGACTTTATATGGAGGTACGATAAATTACAGCAAATTTTTAAACTAGGAAACTAAGTATAGTTTTCGAAAGGATTGACCTGAGCTTTTCTTGAGGGACCGTATGTGAGGCAAGGATTAATAACGTCGGTCAATAAGTTTTTAGCCCCGGGACCAAAGTATACTTTTCGAAAAGATTTCGCTGCGCTTTTCTAAAGGGGACCTTACACAGGTCAATAAATTTTTAACCAAGAGACCAAAGGATACTTTTCGAAATGCTTGAGCTGCGCTGAATCCGTATCTGACCTTATAATTTCTACATCATTGAGTTCATTTTAACAAAATAGAAAGAAATTATGTGGTAAAGTTCTTCATTTTGAAAATTATGAGCCGGTATGCTTTTCCTTAAATCTCGGTGTTCACATTGACTCAAGTGTTTAGAGTTATATCTGATCCAACCCTGTCGAATTTTTTAAAATAATTCAAATTGTTTATTAATTTTTTAATTATTTCGTTTATTGCATAAGATTAACTAACAATGAACAAATCATATCACAACCAATTCTTGTCTTTAGCATGTTACTCCTAATGATGATAAGAGTGAACAGCATGAACTACGGGAGCAGCATGAACAACTGGAGCAGAGTGTACTACAGGAACAGAGTGAACAACAGGAGCAGCCTCATAAGTGTGGACAACGGGAGCAGATTTGACTACAGATACAACAGGAGCAGAATGAACAGTGGTCTTGACTACGGGTGAGACAACAGGAGTAACAACAGCTTTGTTGTGGTAACGAGTAAAACTTTGATGAGACACAGCAGAGGGAGCTGAGTGGACTACAGATCCCACTTTGGCTAGGACAGGTTCCTGGACAACATGATGGGTTTCAAGAATACCAGCGCTGACGGTAGCCAAGTAGAAGAGAGCAATGCAAGCAATCTGAAAAGGAAAAGAAATAATATTTAAAATGTATGCTTTAGAAAATTTCCTGTGAAATAAAAACACTTACAGATTTGTACATGTTTAAGGATTTGAGTTGAGTTTTGTGTTTAAACGTTTGCAAGAAACTAATGTTGTTTTCAAAATGCTCCTTAGTTTATATAGTTAATCTGAAAATAAAACCCTAAATCAGCTGGAATTGTGGCATTTTTTAACAAATCCCTTAAAATTTTAAAAAACACTCTGCTTAAGTGTTTTGGCCGGTTTGTTTGGCCTTCATTACGTATGTATGAGCGTGAGCATTAATCTTGTAGACAATTCACTGCTGATCGCTCGTACTCACTTTCGTAGTAAAATATTAATGACGGGAATAAAAAAAACAACAAAATTATTTGTTTTGGCCATAAACCTAAATTGTTAAATGTTATAGCAGACGAAGGTTGTACACAGATTTTTGAAGTGTTGTTCTTTTTTCATTACTAATTTTTGCTTTTCTATACAAACTACGTCAATTGTCTATAATCAATTGTGCTGAGTTGTTATGCTTAAACAAGAATGAAAAATTGAAAACTACTCAAAACATTTGATCTGTATATTCTGGTTTTAAATTCTGGGTGTATCACAGTTAATAGGATTACGTTGAAAAAAAAAAAACTTGACAGAAATCTGTTATGTTGTTGTCTTAATAAAGTTCAAGTTTAGTGTAGGTGTTTGTTGTTACTTTCCTTATAATTTATTGGGACTATAAATTGTTTGTCAAGATTTGTTTAAATTATCAGTTTCTTTTGAGTTTTCGAAATAAACATTTCATTTAATACCTTTGCAAAATGTTCAAATTTGTAAGTTTTACTTGTTAATTAAATTTTGTAAAATATTTTAAATCAAACAATTTCTAAATTCTATAGATTGCCTTCTTTGCCTGCATCTCTGTTGCTTTGGCTGCTCCCGGTTTATTGGCCGAACATCACACTATTGTTCAAGAACCCGTGTTGGCTAAGGTAGGCTCTGTTGTTCATTCTGCTCCCTCGGCTGTGTCCCATCAAAGTTTCACTCGCGTCCACAACAAAGCTGTTGTTTCTCCCGTTGTTGCTCCCGTTGTCAAGACCACCGTTCATGCTGTAGAACCAGTTGTGCCAGTTGTCAAGACTGTTGAAACTCCTGTCGTTCATACCGTACATGCTGCTCCAGTTGTCAAGACTGTTGAAACTCCTGTTGTTCACACCGTTCATGCTGCTCCCGTTGTTCCAGTTGTAAAGACTGTTCACACTCCTGTTGTCAGTCATGCTGTAGCCCATCAATCTCATGTTCAAATTCACTCCAATGCTGCTCTCGTTACCCCCGTTGTTCATGCCGCACCCGTTGCTCATGTTTACCATCATTAATTGAATGTTTAAAGTGTTTAGCAATTGAATTTTATGTTTTAATAAAAAAAAGTTTCTAAAGAAAAAGTTTTCTTAATTTTTATATATCAAAAATTTTTTTTTTTTAAATTTATTAATTAATATAAAATTAATAGCTCCAGAATGAATGCAAATTGCACCACTTAAGATTTTTTAATTGTGATCTTAGAACTAGTCAAATATCTCATTCTTTGGAATAGGATTGTGATTTGCAAGTTCTTCTAAGAACTAGTACTTCAACATTTCTCTTACACTAGATCAATGTGTACTACTAACATATTTCTAAAAAACATTTGGGAAAAGATAAATATTTCTAAAAATTTAAATCAATGAAAAACGTTAACCAATTAAGTAGACAAAGAACCTGACAAAAATCACTCAAAACTACAAGTTCAAAAGATTTTCGTATTCCATCGAATTACTTTGATTCCATCGTAAAAATTTTATAGTCTAGTCTATAGTCTAGTCTATAGTCTAGTCTATAGTCTAGTCTATAGTCTAGTCTATAGTCTAGTCTATAGTCTAGTCTATAGTCTAGTCCATAGTCTAGTCTATAGTCTAGTCTATAGTTCTAGTCTATAGTCTAGGTCTATAGTCTAGTCTATAGTCTAGTCTATAGTCTAGTCTATAGTCTAGTCTATAGTCTAGTCTATAGTCTAGTCTATAGTCTAGTCTATAGTCTAGTCTATAGTCTAGTCTATAGTCCTAGTCTATAGTCTAGTCTATAGTCTAGTCTATAGTCTAGTCTATAGTCTAGTCTATAGTCTAGTCTATAGTCTAGTCTATAGTCTAGTCTTAGTCTAGTCTATAGTCTAGTCTATAGTCTAGTCTATAGTCTAGTCTATAGTCTAGTCTATAGTCTAGTCTATAGTCTAGTCTATAGTCTAGTCTATAGTCTAGTCTATAGTCTAGTCTATAGTCTAGTCTATAGTCTAGTCTATAGTCTAGTCTATAGTCTAGTCTATAGTCTAGTCTATAGTCTAGTCTATAGTCTAGTCTATAGTCTAGTCTATAGTCTAGTCTATAGTCTAGTCTATAGTCTAGTCTATAGTCTAGTCTATAGTCTAGTCTATAGTCTAGTCTATAGTCTAGTCTATAGTCTAGTCTATAGTCTAGTCTATAGTCTAGTCTATAGTCTAGTCTATAGTCTAGTCTATAGTCTAGTCTATAGTCTATCTATAGTCTAGTCTATAGTCTAGTCTATAGTCTAGTCTATAGTCTAGTCTATAGTCTAGTCTATAGTCTAGTCTATAGTCTAGTCTATAGTCTAGTCTATAGTCTAGTCTATAGTCTAGTCTATAGTCTAGTCTATAGTCTAGTCTATAGTCTAGTCTATAGTCTAGTCTATAGTCTAGTCTATAGTCTAGTCTATAGTCTAGTCTATAGTCTAGTCTATAGTCTAGTCTATAGTCTAGTCTATAGTCTAGTCTAGTCTAGTCTATAGTCTAGTCTATAGTCTAGTCTATAGTCTAGTCTATAGTCTAGTCTATAGTCTAGTCTATAGTCTAGTCTATAGTCTAGTCTATAGTCTAGTCTATAGTCTAGTCTATAGTCTAGTCTATAGTCTAGTCTATAGTCTAGTCTATAGTCTAGTCTATAGTCTAGTCTATAGTCTAGTCTATAGTCTAGTCTATAGTCTAGTCTATAGTCTAGTCTATAGTCTAGTCTATAGTCTAGTCTATAGTCTAGTCTATAGTCTAGTCTATAGTCTAGTCTATAGTCTAGTCTATAGTCTAGTCTATAGTCTAGTCTATGTCTAGTCTATAGTCTAGTCTATATCTAGTCTATAGTCTATCTATAGTCTAGTCTATAGTCTGGTCTATAGTCTAGTCTATTGTCTAGTCTATAGCTCTAGTCTATAGTCTAGTCTATAGTCTAGTCTATAGTCTAGTCTATAGTCTAGTCTTTAGTCTAGTCTATAGTCTTGTCTATAGTCTAGTCTATAGTCCTAGTCTATATAGCACATAATCTATCATATAGTCTTTTCTATAATTAGTCTTTTGTCTATAGTTTAGTCTACAATGTTATCTATAGTGTTGTATATTGTTTAGTCTATATTCTGATCTATAGTTCTAGTCTATAGTTTAGGGGCCTTATTCATACAAATATATCAAAGGGTTTAAGACAATTTTTCATACAAAATTTGTTCTACAAACCTTTGGTTTCCTAAAATTTATCCAATTTATAAAATAACTTCTGTTAAATTTTAAATAATTTTTAAACAAATTTTATTTAATTTAAACGTAATTGACATGGATTATGGATGTGTTAAAAATTTAATGATAAGAATGATAAGCAACTGGGGCAGAATGTACCAAGGGTACAGAGTGAACTACAGGAGCAGCAGCATAAGTATGGACTACAGGGGCGGCAGCTACGGTCTTAACAACAGGAGCAGCGGCATAGGTGTGGACAGTCTTGACAACAGGAGCAGCGGCATAGGTGTGTACAACAGGTGCAGCAGCTACAGTCTTGACAACAGGAGCAGTTTCATAGGTATGGACTACGGGAGCAGCAGCTACAGTCTTAACAACTGGGGCAGCATAGGTGTGGACAACTGGTACTTTCTTTTCCAAATTGGTGAAACTTTGATGAGTAATAGCTGATGAAGCACTGTTATCGATGACAGCAGTTTTAGTTACAACAGCAGGTTGTACAAGGGTATGATGAGTTTCAGTCAAAAAGCCAGGAGCAGCAGAAACGGCAGCTACTAAAGCGAAAACAGTAATGAACTTGAACATGTTGATGTTTTTTTGTGGTTTTAAAAGGATGTTGAATTTCAAAAGAATGAAAATGAACTGATGCCAATAACATAAAATCAAAGTTAATTTATACTCAAAATGTTGGAAAAGAACTACATGTACATATGCAAACATAAATTCTTTCATAAAACATAATATGTACTTATTTATTTGCTATTATTTTGTTATTACTCCTCGATTGATTTTGTAAATAGTGTTTCAATTTTACCTATAATTTTAAACCTTTAACCGGTTCTTTATGTGTGGTTTGTAATTTCTTTGGTGGTTTATAACGTTCATTATGGCTTTGTCATTATTTTGATTGAGTCTTTTGAGGTTTTAAAAAAGTAAACATTGTTATATGTACATGATTTGCGTTTACTGACATGCATCTATTTTTAGAAAAAATTTATTGAATTGATGTTGCTACTGCTGCTGGGGATTTTGTTGTCTTACGAGGTATTAAATTTGGAAAGAGGTTTTTTCAATTGCGGATTCTAAGGGGATTAATATGATAAAAAAAAAGAATTTTTCACATTTCCTAGAATATGTTTATCAAAGTATTTAATCCTATGAAATCTTTAAATTGTAATAAATTGATTTATTTCAATAATTTGTAAAACCTCTTTTACGTGTTTTGACAAGAAATATATTTTATTGAATTTCTCTTAATTTTTTACGACAGACAGACCGATATGTAGACAGACAGATAGAGAGAGAGACAGACAGAGATACAGACAGACAGACATATATACAGACAGACAGATAGACAGACATATACACAGACAGACATATACACAGACAGACATATACACAGACAGGCAGAGGGACAGACAGACAGACAGACAGACAGACAGACAGACAGACAGACAGACAGACAGACAGACAGACATACAGACAGACAGACAGATAGACAGATAGACAGACAGACAGACAGACAGACAGACAGACAGACAGACAGACAGACAGACAGGCAGGCAGACAGACAGATAGAGAGAGAGAGAGAGAGAGAGAGAGACAGAGACAGACAGAGATACAGACAGAGAAACAGATTTACAGACAGACAGAGAGACAGAATGAAAGACAGACAGATAGACAGACATATACAAAGACAGACAGAGAGAGGCAGGCAGACAGACCGACAGACAGACAGTCTGACCGGACAAAAATTTAGTAATCTGCACTCTAATCAATGCTGAGCGGTTTCTGAACTATAGTGAGTACGGCTTTACTTAAATCAAGTACGGATCCGTTAATTTAAGCCCTTTTTGTATCAAAGTGATCTTACAATTGGTTTATTTTAAGAATTTTCGGTTTGGCTTAACGTAAAATGCTTACTTGATTTGAGATAAATATAAGATTGATTTAAGATAGTAAAAGATTGAATTAATCCCAAAAAGAGCTTAAAAACTAATTTTGGGAAATTGTTCAAGAATTTTTCATTTTTAAAACAGTTTCAAGGTATTTATCCGAACTTCTATCGAACTACTTAGAGTGAAACGTATGTGTTAACAGGGTTTTGGAAACCCTTTAGAAATACTTTGGAATTTGGGAACAAGGAGAATAACTTCTAGGAGTAATCGCAACCTAAATTAATTCTACAACTTCTTACTTAGAAAAAATTAAAAATGCCTTTAAAACTAAAATAAAATTCAAATTAGTTTTTTTTTTTTTATATTCAATAACACATTTTATTTAAAAACAATATAAAAATAACAAATTTAATGATGGAAGCTAGAGTAGGCAACAGGAGCGGAAACAACAGTCTTAACTAAGGGAGCAGAGTGAACAGCAACGGTTTTAACTACAGGAGCAGCAGCATAGGAAACTGATTTTAATATGGGAGCAGATTCATAGGAGTGTACTACAGGAGCGGCAGCAACAGTCTTAACAACAGGAGCACTGTATGAAACAGATTTAACTACAGGAGCCGACTCATAAGTGTGAACAACTGGAGCAACAGTTTTAACTACAGGAGCAGAGTAAGAAACTGATTTTACTACAGGAGCCGATTCATAAGTGTGAACAACGGGAGCAACGGTTTTAACTACGGGAGCAGAGTAAGAAACCGATTTTACTGCGGGAGCAGTTTCGTAAGAAACAGTTTTTACAACAGGAGCAGCCGCATAGCTATGGACAACTGGTACTTTTTTCTCCAAATTGGTGAAACTTTGATGGGTAATGGCTGAGGAAGCACTGGTATCAACAACAGCAGTTTTAGTTAAAATAGCAGGTTGTACAAAGGAGTGATGGCTTTCTGATACAAAACCAGGAGCAGCGGAGGCAACAGCAGCCAAAGCAAAGACAGCGATCTGTGAAAATGGTTACAGGAACAAAATTAAAAAAAAAACTAAAAATATTTGTAGGTTAAATTTAACTTACAAATTTGAACATTTTTGTTAAAGTTAAATTGGTTGTTTTACTTTAAAGGGAGTTAGAAAAACTGATAAATTTACAGAAGACAAGCGAATATTTTATACTTTTTTATTTGCTCAAACTTCAGCAGTTAACTGGTTTTAGTTATAGCAGAAGTAAGCAATAATAGCAATTGTAATGCAAACAATTACTTATTAAGACTTTTAAAAGCAGTTTACTGCTACTTAATGTTATCAAATTTTATTAAAATATTTTAATTTAATTGAAATATATATTAAAGTAACAATAGCTTAAAGCAATGTCCTTTAACCATTACATATTATATTACTAACTATATCATAAAATTTTCACTATAAGTTTTTGTCATTTGATAGCATTCTCATTTCATAATCTTTTGGTTTATAATTGATAATGTTTTTGCTAATAATAAATATATATTATGAATTTTATTTAACTTTATTATTTAGGCGATATAAACAAACGCCTAATGCTTTCCAAAACTTGCACAATTGTTTTTGTCAATACAATTTTTCGAAATATATTTTGGGAATTTTATTGATGAATTTTTTTTTTCACAGTTTTACTTAAAAAATTTAAAATACGTATAGCAAAATGGTATAGTCCTGACTATCGTATATAGTTTGTAATCTATACTGCACAGAATAAGGAATTAGTTTAGCCTATAGTCTAGTTTGAAGTACAGACTATAGTCTCATTTGTTTATCTAGTTAGTTAATTGTAGTCATGACTATAGGTTTTTATAAACAAATCTATAAGGTGGATTGTAATCCAAACAATAGTTTAAGTCCAGTTTAAGTGCAAACTATAGTCTAGTCCATAGTCAGAAGTACTTATCTTAGTAGAAGTAATATTTAAGAACATAGTTTAATTAATAATTCATTAATTAACTAACTAACTATCCATAGACTAGTCTACAGTCGATACTCTTTAGTCTATAGCTTAGTGTATAGCCTTGTATGTAGTCTAGTATTTAGTATATAATCGAGTCCCAAGTCGGGTGACTAGTCGAGTTTATACTCTAGTTTATAGTCTAGTTTATAGTAAAGTATGTAGTCTAGTCTATAGTCTAGTCTGTAGACTAGTCTATAGTCTAGTCTGTAGTCTAGTCTGTAGTCTAGTCTAAGGTCTAGTCTATAGTCTAGTCCAAAGTCTAGCCTATAGTCTATTATATAGTGTAGTCTAAAGTCTAGTCTACAGTATAGGCTATAGTCTAGCCTATATTGTCTATAGTCTAGTCTATATTCTAACTAATTAACTAACTAACTAACTAACTAACTAACTAACTAACTAACTAACTAACTAACTAACTACTAACTAACTAACTACTAACTAACTAACTAACTAACTAACTAACTAACTAACTAACTAACTAACTAACTAACTAACTAACTACTAACTAACTAACTAACTAACTAACTAACTAACTAACTAACTAACTAACTAACTACTAACTAACTAACTAACTAACTAACTAACTAACTAACTAACTAACTAACTAACTACTAACTAACTAACTAACTAACTAACTAACTAACTAACTAACTAACTAACTAACTAACTACTAACTAACTAACTAACTAACTAACTAACTACTAACTAACTAACTAACTAACTAACTAACTAACTAACTAACTAACTAACTAACTAACTAACTAACTAACTAACTAACTAACTAACTACTAACTAACTAACTACTAACTAACTAACTAACTAACTAACTAACTAACTAACTAACTAACTAACTAACTACTAACTACTAACTAACTAACTAACTAACTAACTAACTAACTAACTAACTAACTAACTAACTAACTAACTAACTAACTACTAACTAACTACTAACTAACTAACTAACTACTAACTAACTAACTAACTAACTAACTAACTAACTAACTAACTAACTAACTAACTAACTAACTAACTAACTAACTAACTAACTAACTAACTAACTAACTAACTAACTAACTAACTAACTAACTAACTAACTAACTAACTAACTAACTAACTAACTAACTAACTACTAACTAACTAACTACTAACTACTAACTAACTAACTAACTAACTAACTAACTAACTAACTAACTAACTAACTAACTAACTAACTAACTAACTAACTAACTAACTAACTAACTAACTAACTAACTAACTAACTAACTAACTACCTAACTAACTAACTAACTAACTAACTAACTAACTAACTAACTAATACTAACTAACTAACTAACTACCTAACTAACTAACTAACTAACTAACTAACTACTAACTAACTACTAACTAACTAACTAACTAACTAACTAACTAACTACTACTAACTACTAACTAACTAACTAACTACTAACTAACTAACTAACTAACTAACTAACTAACTAACTAACTAACTAACTAACTAACTAACTACTAACTAACTAACTAACTAACTAACTAACTAACTAACTAACTAACTAACTACTAACTAACTAACTAACTAACTAACTAACTAACTAACTAACTAACTAACTAACTAACTAACTAACTAACTAACTAACTAACTAACTAACTAACTAACTAACTAACTAACTAACTAACTAACTAACTAACTAACTAACTAACTAACTAACTAACTACCTAACTAACTAATTACCTATCTAACTAACTATTTAACTATTATTATTTAATAATATTAATAATATCATAAGATCTAGAAGCTTAATGAAAATTTGTATCAAAAAAGTAGTTAAACAATATTTTTATTTGGTAAATGAATTTTTTTTTTTAATTAAAGAGCCAAATAAATAATATATATACATAGATAGCACAGATTCCCACCTTTTATTTCATACCAATATAAGCATCATACAATACATATAAATAAGAATTTAAAATATTCGTTTGAATTTGTAAATCCTTTTTGAAGGACCTAACAGCTGATTGCAAAAAACGGATTATGCAGGACTGTTACAAATGTACTCTAGTTTTACATGCATATCGCTTTTCTATGTGTAAAAAATATGTTTCAAGATAATTTTAATAAATATACATAATATGTATGTTCATAAATAACTATGTGGAAACAATTGATAAATGATATAAGTACCACAATTAGTTCCAAAACACATTCATATATGTACGTATATCCAGCCTAAACTTGTTACAGTTTGGTAGTTATACCAATGGAATGCTTTTAAAGTTGATATACAATCATACATGCCGAGAACGAGTTATAGCAGCAATGGCAACATAACTTGTTCCAGGGCTGTTATTCAGTAATCAGAAGGGATGTCGGTTTTGAAATTTATAATCAAAATTAAACTAAAATAACCTATTCCAATCTTTTCTTTTAAATACATATAATTTTTTTTTTTATTTTCAATATCACATTTTATTAAAAACCTATAAAATAACCAATTTAATGATGGTAGCTAGAGTAGGCTGCTGGAGCAGAAACTACTGTCTTTACTAAAGGAGCAGAGTGGACAGCAACGGTTTTGAATACAGGAGCAGCAGCATAAGAAACTGATTTTACTACAGGAGCAGATTCATAAGTATGAACTACAGGAGCGGCAGCAACAGTCTTAACAACAGGAGCACTGTATGAAACTGATTTAACTACAGGAGCCGACTCATAAGTGTGAACAACTGGAGCAACAGTTTTTACTACGGGAGCGGAGTAAGAAACTGATTTTACTATAGGAGCCGACTCATAAGTGTGAACAACGGGAGCAACAGTTTTTACTATAGGAGCAGAGTAAGAAACTGATTTGGCTACGGGAATAGTTTCGTAAGAAACAGTTTTTACAACAGGAGCAGCAGCATAGCTATGGACAACTGGGACTTTTTTCTCCAAATTGGTAAAACTTTGATGGGTAATGGCTGAGGAAGCACTGGTATCAACAACAGCAGTTTTAGTTAAAACAGCAGGTTGTACAAAGGTGTGATGGTTTTCAGATACAAAACCAGGAGCAGCAGAGGCAACAGCAGCCAAAGCAAAGACAGCAATCTGTGAAAATGTTTAAGGAAAAATTAAAAAATACTAAACCCATTTTTTATGTCTGATATAACTTACAAATTTGAACATTTTTGTTAAAGTTACTTTAATGTTTTACTTCAAAGGGAGTTAGATAAACTGATACTTTGAAAGAAGACCAGTGAACATTTTATACAGTTTTTGTGTGCTTGAACTTTAGTAGTTAACTGGTTTTAGTTATTAAGCTAATAAAAAAAGAAGTAAGAAAAATTTATTGTAAAACTAGATAAATAACTGTTAAGGTATTTAGATGCAGTACTGCCACTTAAAAATTAAGTTGCATATACATACATATACAGATATGTATTTAAATATATTATGTTTTTAATTAAGTAATTGAAAGGAATAATAAATTATAGTTGCATTAGCAGTGCCCTATTGCAGTATCCTTAAATAATGAAAAGTTATATTATTTATTATTTCATAAACTTTTTATATTATTAAACCATTTTATACCATTTTCTATTCATAATCTTTTAGTTCATAATTGTTAATGTTTTTCTCGATAATCACGATTATAGATTTTAGTTCGCTGTTTTACCTTGCACAATCATAACTTTTCAATAATAATTTTTCCACACAAAAAAAAAAAAAAGATCTGAAATTATATACAATGGATAATAGTCTTTAGGCGATATTAGTGGAATATTTTATAACAGGAAAAAATTTTTATTTAATTACTTTGGTAATTTGTTCTGAAAACAAATAAACAGTAATATTCCGGCGTAAACCACCGTTAGCCGGACTTTAGCTTATGATGAATTCAAATGAATTTTAATCTATAGTATAGCCACAAATATAAACTCTCATCTATAGTTTGGTCTATAATCTAGTCTATAGTCTGGTCTATAGTCTAGTCTATAGTCTGGTCTATAGTCTAGTCCTATAGTCTAGTCTATAGTCTAGTCTATAGTCTAGTCTATAGTCTAGTCTAGTAGTCTAGTCTATAGTCTAGTCTATAGTCTAGTCTATAGTCTAGTCTATAGTCTAGTCTATAGTCTAGTCTATAGTCTAGTCTATAGTCTAGTCTATAGTCTAGTCTATAGTCTAGTCTATAGTCTAGTCTATAGTCTAGTCTATAGTCTAGTCTATAGTCTAGTCTATAGTCTAGTCTATAGTCTAGTCTATAGTCTAGTCTATAGTCTAGTCTATAGTCTAGTCTATAGTCTAGTCTATAGTCTAGTCTATAGTCTAGTCTATAGTCTAGTCTATAGTCTAGTCTATAGTCTAGTCTATAGTCTAGTCTATAGTCTAGTCTATAGTCTAGTCTATAGTCTAGTCTATAGTCTAGTCTATAGTCTAGTCTATAGTCTAGTCTATAGTCTAGTCTATAGTCTAGTCTATAGTCTAGTCTATAGTCCTAGTCTATAGTCTAGTCTAGTAGTCTAGTTCTATAGTCTAGTCTATAGTCTAGTCTATAGTCAGGCTATAGTCTAGTCTATAGTCTACTAGTCTATAGTCTAGTCTATAGTCTAGTCTATAGTCTAGTCTATAGTCTAGTCTATAGTCCTAGTCTATAGTCTAGTCTATAGTCTAGTCTATAGTCTAGTCTATAGTCTAGTCTATAGTCTAGTCTATAGTCTAGTCTATAGTCTAGTCTATAGTCCTAGTCTATAGTCTAGTCTATAGTCTAGTCTATAGTCTAGTCTATAGTCTAGTCTATAGTCTAGTCTATAGTCTAGTCTATAGTCTAGTCTATAGTCTAGTCTATAGTCTAGTCTATAGTCTAGTCTATAGTCTAGTCTATAGTCTAGTCTATAGTCTAGTCATAGTCTAGTCTATAGTCTAGTCTATAGTCTAGTCTATAGTCTAGTCTATAGTCTAGTCTATAGTCTAGTCTATAGTCTAGTCTATAGTCTAGTCTATAGTCTAGTCTATAGTCTAGTCTATAGTCTAGTCTATAGTCTAGTCTATAGTCTAGTCTATAGTCTAGTCTATAGTCTAGTCTATAGTCCTAGTCTATAGTCTAGTCTATAGTCTAGTCTATAGTCTAGTCTATAGTCTAGTCTATAGTCTAGTCTATAGTCTAGTCTATAGTCTAGTCTATAGTCTAGTCTATAGTCTAGTCTATAGTCTAGTCTATAGTCTAGTCTAGTCTAGTCTATAGTCTAGTCTATAGTCTAGTCTATAGTCTAGTCTATAGTCTAGTCTATAGTCTAGTCTATAGTCTAGTCTATAGTCTAGTCTATAGTCTAGTCTATAGTCTAGTCTATAGTCTAGTCTATAGTCTAGTCTATAGTCTAGTCTATAGTCTAGTCTATAGTCTAGTCTATAGTCTTGTCTAGTCTAGTCTATAGTCTAGTCTATAGTCTAGTCTATAGTCTAGTCTATAGTCTAGTCTATAGTCTAGTCTATAGTCTAGTCTATAGTCTAGTCTATAGTCTAGTCTAGTCTATAGTCTAGTCTAGTCTATAGTCTAGTCTAGTCTATAGTCTAGTCTATAGTCTAGTCTATAGTCTAGTCTATAGTCTAGTCTATAGTCTATAGTCTAGTCTATAGTCTATAGTCTAGTCTATAGTCTAGTCTATAGTCTAGTCTATAGTCTAGTCTATAGTCTAATCCAGCGGTTCCCACCGTTTTTTACTTCGCGGACCCCTTGAGGAATTTATTTAATTTCACGGACCCCCATACATATTTTGATATCTTATTGTTATAAATAACACTGTGATACAAAAGTGAAGAAAAATAAAATGCAGGCGTTCTCATATACCAATTCTATTTCGTTATAGTCCATAGAGTACGAATATATTTTTAGTTTTCCCCTATCACTTCGTTAACTTACTTTTTAAGAGCAAAAGATGCGAAAAAGAGCCATTTTTGAAGTTTTAAATTTGAAAAATCATAAGTTTAGTAGTAGTTTTCATCCGATTTTCAAATCCGATATTTTTTTTAATGATACAAGTGTTGCCGTTTAAGTAAAGAAACTCACACTTTTTTAAAAAAATTTCATTTTCATCATGCTCTACTTTGACCTTGAGGCAGTGAGTTCATCTTTTATTACTTTCCTGAAGAATCACATAAAGGAAGGTTTCTAAAACTTGTTATTTCATAAAAATCTATGAAAAACTGGATGATTTATGCCAATTTTTCTAATAGCATGTTCCTCGAATTTTTGGTTTTCTCCATACAAATTAATTTTTGTATAAAAATGTTTATAAACATTTTTTAAACTTGTTACAAAGAAAACCAGAAACATGAACGTTTTTGTATGGAAGAAATATGCTATATTTTTATAAAACTTAGCACAACTCATAACCTTTTTCATCGATTATCATAAATTGACCATCATTGGAAACCCAACTTAATGTGCCTTTTTTCAAATGTAATAAAAGCTAAAGTTACTGCTTCATGGCCAACGTAGAGCAGTATGAAAATTAAAAATTGTGAAAAAATGTGAGTTTTTTTACTTAAAAGGCCGTAACCAAGACATTAATCATAAATTTTGGATTTATTTTTTTGGGTTGAAAGACAACACTTGTATCTTTAAAACAAAATATCCAATTTGAAAATCGGTTGCAAACTACCATAAATATATTTTTTTAAAGTTAAAACTTCAAAAATAGCTCTTTTTCACATCTTTTGCTCTTAAAAAGGAACTAAACGAAGTGATCGGGAAAAATTAAAAATATATTCCTACTCTATGGACTATAACGAAATGGAATTGGTATATGAGAACCCCTGCATTTTTTTGCTGTATCACTGTGTAATTGTTCGTCCGAAAATTGTCTTAGTCCTGGTCCATAAACCCTATAAAATATTCCCGTACATTGAGATCGGAGGTGTTTTCAATTGCATGGTTTTAAATATAGAATGACTTCTAACATGATGTTTAATTTTATGATCGTGAGAGCTTTCATGTTCATTTCTCGTCAAAGTATAGAAAAGGTTTCTTTATCAAGTATTGTCGACATGTGCTTAAAGAGTCATGTTTCTAAATTTTTTTGCGATTGCATAGGAGTGAGCTGAGTATGTAAGCTAAGTTTTCGAGAAAATATGTGAAAGTTAGACTTCTTCGATGTTGTTGCGGAATGCGTTACCCACATAAAATATGACCTGAACTCTTTGCGAATGTACTGTGAATTTGGATCTTAATTTTGAATTTTAAAATACCTACGAATTATTTTACTGCGTGGTTTTGACTATTTACGCAAAACGCTATGAATTTTCTGATGTTGATTTAATAATATTGGACAACAAAATGAAGTTAAAATCTGTGTATCACGTCGGAATGGAATATTTATATTTAAAATTAACTAGATTAACACTTTTGCTTACAATTTAAAAAAATATTATGAAATGTGACCTAACCTGGGATACCAGTATCAGTATTTAATTCTAAGGCAAATCATTATCCGTCTGCTATAAAAACATTTATTTCGATACATATACATTTATAAAAATTACAAATCACTTAATACTTTACTTTATAAAAGTGAAACAATAAATTTGTAAGGCCTAGCTTCATCCTGATAAACGACCGAAACAATAAAATTCAAAGAGTCACCAACAAATCTGGGATTATTGAATAAAAATTGTGTATTTTAGTATTTATGACAAATTTGGAGATATTTTTAATATTTTCTAACATATAGATAATATTTTTTATTCATGATTTTTTTCGTTCGTCTTCGCGGACCCCCTAGGATTTTGCTACGGACCACTAGGGGTCCGCGGACCCCCTTTGGGAACCGTTGGTCTAGTCTATAGTCTAGTCTATAGTCTAGTCTATAGTCTAGTCTATAGTCTAGTCTATAGTCTAGTCTATAGTCTAGTCTATAGTCTAGTCTATAGTCTAGTCTATAGTCTAGTCTAGTCTATCTAGTCTAGTCTATAGTCTAGTCTATAGTCTAGTCTATAGTCTAGTCTATAGTCTAGTCTATAGTCTAGTCTATAGTCTAGTCTATAGTCTAGTCTATAGTCTAGTCTATAGTCTAGTCTATAGTCTAGTCTATAGTCTAGTCTATAGTCTAGTTATAGTCTAGTCTATAGTCTAGTCTATAGTCTAGTCTATAGTCTAGTCTATAGTCTAGTCTATAGTCTAGTCTATAGTCTAGTCTATAGTCTAGTTCTATAGTCTAGTCTATAGTCTAGTCTATAGTCTAGT